CCATCCAGGTGCAAATCCCTGTGCTGATCCCGCTGTCCCCATGGAAATCCCCGTGTTCCCACACAGATCCCGCTGTCCCCGTGTCCTTGTCCCTGTGCCAGCAGCACAGCTGGGACCTGAATCCCCCTGTCCCCATCCCAGTGTCCCCATCTCCCTGTCCCCATCCTTGAAACCCCCTGTCCCCATCCCTGTGTCCCCATCCCTGTCCCCACTCCTGTGCCCATCCCGGTGCCAATCCCGCTGTCCCCGTGTCCTTGTCCCTGCGCCGGTGGCACAGACGGGCCCTGAGGCCTCGTGTCCCTGTCCCTGTGGCCCCATCCCCCTGTCCCCAACCCCGTGTCCCATCCCCCTGTCCCCAACCCCGTGTCCCATCCCCCTGTCCCTGTGTCCCCATCCCCGTGTCCCCGTCCCAGTGCCAATCCCAGTGCCAATCCCTCTGTCCCCGTGGAAATCCCGTGTTCCCACACAGACCCCGCTGTCCCCGTGTCCTTGTCCCTGTGCTGGCGGCACAGCCGGGGCCTGAATCCCCCTGTCCCTGTCCCCGTGTCCCCATCCCCGTGTCCCCAACCCCCTGTCCCTGTCCCTGTGTCCCCAACCCAGTATCCCATCCCCGTGTCCCCAGCCCTGTCCCCAACCCCCTGTCCCTGTCCCCGTGTCCCCATCCCCCTGTCCCCAAACCCGTGTCCCATCCCCATGTCCCTGTCCCTGTGTCCCTGTCCCTGTGTCCCCACCCCAGTGTCCCCATCCCTGTCCCCATCCTGGTGCCAATCCAGTGCCAATCCCGCTGTCCCCGTGTCCTTGTCCCTGTGCCAGCAGCACAACTGGGGCCTGAATCCCCCTGTCCCCAACCCCGTGTCCCATCCCCATGTCCCTGTCCCTGTGTCCCTGTCCCAGTGTCCCCATCCCTGGACAAACCCCCATGTCCCTGTCCCTGTGTCCCTGTCCCAGTGTCCCCACCCCAGTGTCCCCATCCCTGGTCCCAATCCTGGTGCCAATCCCGCTGTCCCCGTGTCCTTGTCCCTGCGCCAGAGGCACAGACGGGCCCTGAGGCCCCGTGTCCCTGTCCCTGTGTCCCCATCCCGTGTCCCTGTCCCTGTGTCCCCATCCCTGTGTCCCCATCCCCGTGTCCCCGTCCCAGTGCCAATCCCAGTGCAAATCCTGCTGTCCCCGTGGAAATCCCCGTGTTCCCACACAGATCCCGCTGTCCCCGTGTCCTTGTCCCTGTGCCAGCAGCACAACTGGGGCCTGAATCCCCCTGTCCCTGTCCCCGTGTCCCTGTCCCCATGTCCCCAACCCCATGTCCCAACCCCATGTCCCATCCCCATGTCCCCATCCCCCTGTCCCCATCCTTGAAACCCCCTGCCCCCATCCCAGTGTCCCCATCCCTGTCCCTGTCCCCATGTCCCTGTCCCTGTGTCCCCATCCCTGGACAAACCCCCATGTCCTGCTCCCCCTGTCCCTGTCACACCCCCTGTCCCCACACGTGTGATCCCATGTCATTCCTGTGTCATTCCCGTGTCCCTGTGTGTGTTCCCGTGTCATTCCCATGGAAATCCCGTGTCATTCCCATGTTCCCATGTCCCTGTGTGTGTCCCTGCCACATCCCATGTCCCCACACGAGTCCCCGTGTGTGTTCCCATGGAAACCCCGTGTCATTCCCATGGAATTCCCATGGAAATCCCGTGTCATTCCCATGGAATTCCCATGGAAACCCCGTGTCATTCCCATGGAAATCCCATGTAAATCCCGTGTCACTCCCATGTTCCCGTGTCCCCAAGCTCAGCCCCTCCCCCCCCCGTTAATTAGCACCGCTCATAACGAGGGAGGGATGAGGAAAGGACATAGAAAGGAGTTTCCCCCGCAAAAAGGAGACCCCCAAAAATGGGGACTCCCAGGAAAGTGGGGACTCCCCAAAAAAAAATAGGGATCCCCAAAAATAGGGAAAACCTCTCAAAAAATAGGGACCCCCCCTCAGAAATTGGAATCTCCCCACAAAAAATAGGATTCCCCCAAAAAATGGGGATCCTCAAAAATAGAAATCCTCCCTCCCAAAAATAGGAACCCCCAAAAAAAAAGATTAGAAAACCCCACAAAAGTGGAACATCCCCAAAATGGGAACCTCGAGAGTGGGACACCCCCAGAAAATGGGACATCCCCCAAATAAGGAAAACCCCTCAAAAATAGGGAACCCCCCAAAAATAGGAACACCCCCAAAAAAATCCCTCCCCAAAATCCCCCACCCCCAAAACAAAACAGGCACCTCCCCACCTCCCCAAAACCGCCCCCACCCCAAAAAACCCTTCCCGACCCCTCCTCCCCAAAATTTTGGGGTGATCCCTCCCAAGAACCCCCGGGATGGGGAGGAGCTAGATTGACCCTCCCCCAAATTTTAAGGGAGTCCCCAATTATTTTTTTGGGGGAGACCCGGACATTGAATTGGGGGGAGAGATCCTTTTTCCCACGGGGACCTTCCCTCCCCCCGCGCCCCTCCCCACCCTCCCAGGCCGCCCCTCCCCCTCGGATTAAGGGGCAGCAGATGGCGAAGGGGGATGACACCCTCCCCACCCCCAAATCCCCGTGACCCCCACTGACCCCCGGGCAGGAGGGAGGGGCTGGGGAGGGACGAGGGGGTTGAGGGAGGATTTTGAGGGTCCCTGAAGGATTTTGGGGGGTCCTGGGGGTTTTGGGGGTGAGGGGAATTTTGGGGGCTCCTTGAAGGATTTTGGGGGTCCTGGGGGGATTTATGGGCGAGGGAGAGGAGTTAGGGGGTTTGGGAGGTCCTTGAAGGGTTTGGGTTTTGGGGGTTCATTTCAATTTTTTGGGGGGGTTATTTCAGGTTTTGGAGGTTTATTACAAATTTGGGGGGTTATTTCAGGTTTTGGAGGTTTATTACAAATTTGGGGGCTTATTTCAGTTTTTTGGGGCTTTATTTCAGTTTTTGGCGTTTTATTTCATTTTTTGGGGGGTTTATTTCAGTTTTTGGGGGTTCATCAAGATTATTCGGGGGTTATTTCAGTTTTTAGGCATTTTTTGGGTTCTTTTTTGGGGTTTATTTCAATTTTTGGGGCTTTATTTCAGTTTTTGGGGCTTTATTTCACTTTTTTTGGGTTTATTTCAATTTTTGGGACTTCATTTCACTTTTTTGGGGCTTTATTTCAATTTTTGGGGCTTTATTTCAGCTTTGGGAGTTTTATTACGATTATTTGGGGGTTAATTCAGTTTTTAGGCATTTTTTGGGGGGGGGTTCTTCAGTTTTGGGGTTCTTTTTTGGGGTTTATTTCAATTTTGGGGCTCTATTTCAGTTTTCAGGCCTTTATTTCAATTTTAGGGCTTTTTTTTCATTTTTGGGGGGTTTATTTCAATTTTGGGGGTTATTTCAATTTTGGGGCTTCATTTCAGGTTTTGGGGGGGTTTTTTTGGCTTTTTTTTGGTGGAGGATTTTTTTAGGGGCTGTTTTTCAGGGAGCCTGTTTTTTAGGGGGGTCTGTATTTTTGGGGGTGTCGTATTTTTGGGGTTTTTTTTAGGGACTGTTTTTTCAGGGTCTGTTTTTTTTGGTTTTTTTTTTTGGTTTTTTTGGGTTTTTTTAGGGACTGTTTTTATAGGGGTTTTTTTTTAGGGGCTGTTCTTTTGGGGGGGGTCTCTATTTTTTGTTTGTTTTTTATTTTTTTAGGGACTGTTTTTATAGGGTCTGTATTTTTGGGGGAGGGGTTGTATTTTCTTGGGGGGGGCTGCATTTTTTTTGTTGTTTTGTGTTTTTTTGTTGTGTTTTTTTTTGTTTGTTTGTTTTTTTAAGGGACTGTTTTTACAGGGTTTTTTTTTTACGGTCCGTATTTTTGGGGGAGTATCTGTATATTTTTGGGGGGGTCTGTATTTTTTTAAATTTTAATTATTTTGGGGGGGATTGTTTTATATGTTGACTGGTTTTTTAGGGTCTATATATTTTTTAGGGGGGTTTCTGTATTTTTTGTTTAGTTTTTTGGGGTTTTTTTTAGGGTCTGTATTTTTGGGGTGTCTGTATTTTTTTGGGGGAGGTGTCTATTTTTTTGGGGTGTCTGCATATTTTTGGGGGGTACCTGTATATTTTGGGGGGTACCTGTATTTCTGGGGGTTAATTTTTTGTTTGGGTTTTTTTGCTGTTTTTGGGGGTTTTTTTGTTTTTTAGGGTCTGTATATTTTAGGTGGCATCTGTATTTCTTTTTGGGGGTGTCTCTATATTTTTGGGATATATCTCTATATTTTTTGGTCTATATATTTTTGGGGGTATCTCTCTATTTTTTGGGGGGCTCTCTATATTTTTGGGGTAACTATATTTTTGGGAGATATCTGTATTTTTGGGGGTGTCTCTGTATTTTTGGGGTGTATCTCTATATTTTTGGGGTGTATCTCTATATTTTTGGGGGGGTCTCTATATTTTTGGGATGTATCTGTATATTTTTTGGTGTATCTCTATATTTTTGGGGTATATCTGTAATTTTGGGGGGGTATCTCTATTTTTGGGGGTATCTCTTTATTTTTTGTGGTATCTCTATATTTTTGGGGGCTCTCTATATTTTTGGGGGGGTGTCTGTGTAATTTTTGGGGTGTCTATTTTTTTGGGGGGTATCTATATTTTTGGGGTTGTCTGTATATTTTTTGGATATATCTCTATATTTTTGGGGGTATCTCTATATTTTTGGGATATATCTGTATATTTTTGGGGTGTATCTCTATATTTTTTGAGTGTATCTGTATTTTTTTGAGGGGTATCTCTATTTTTTTGGGGAGTATCTCTATTTCTGGGGGGTATCTGTATTTTTTGGGGGGTATCTGTATATTTTTAGGGTTGTCTCTATATTTTTGGGGGGTATCTCTATTTTTTGGGGGGTATCTCTATTTTTTGGGGGGTATCTCTATTTTTTGGGGGGTATCTATATTTTTGGAGTGTATCTCTATATTTTTGGGGTTGTCTCTATATTTTTGGGGTTGTCTCTATATTTTGGGGGGTATCTCTATTTTTTTGGGGGTATCTCTATTTTTTGGGGGGTATCTGTAATTTTTGGGGGGTATCTGTAATTTTTGGGGGTGTATCTCTATATTTTTGGGCTGTATCTCTGTATTTTTAGGGTGTATCTCTATATTTTTGGGGGGGTATCTCTGTTTCTGGGGGGTATCTCTATATTTTTGGGATATATCTCTATATTTCTGGGCTGTATCTCTATATTTTTAGGGTGTATCTCTATATTTTTGGGGGGTATCTCTATTTTTGGGCTGTAGCTCTATTTTTGGGGGGGTATCTGTAATTTTTTGGGGTTGTCTGTATATTTTTTGGGGGGTATCTCTATATTTTTGGGCTGTATCTCTGTATTTTTAGGGTGTATCTCTATATTTTTGGGGGGTATCTGTAATTTTTTGGGGTGTATCTCTATATTTTTTGGCTGTATCTCTATATTTTTGGGCTGTATCTCTATTTTTTGGGGGGGTATCTCTCTATTTCTGAGGGGTATCTCTCTATTTTTGGGCTCTATCTCTATATTTTGGGGGTACCTCTCTATTTCTGGGGGTTCTGCGGGTGCTCTCGGGGCCGTCCCGGGGTGGGGGAGGGGTCCCCGCGGCCCCCAGTAGCCTCCCCAGTTCGGCGGCTCCGACAGCTACCGCGTGGCCACCACGCAGGACAAGGGGGGCGAGAAGGAGTCCCCCAAAAAGGGCAAGAGCAAGACCCGGGACCTCGATGACCTCAAGAAGGAGGTGGCCATGGTGAGTCCGGGGGTTTGGGGGGGTTGGGGCGATTTAGGGGGTTGGGGGGAGATTGGGGGGGATTTGGGGGCGGTTTGGGGGGATTTAGGGGGAGATTGGGGCATTTGGGGCAGTTTGGGGGCGATTTAGGGGAGATTGGGGGATTTGGGGGATTTAGGGAGGTTTGGGGGATTTGGGGGGATTTGGGGGAGGTTCGGGGGGATTTGGGGGGCTTGGGGGTGGTTTGGGGGCATTTGGGGTCATTAAAGGAAGGGTTTGGGGTGGTTTGGAAGGTTTGGGGGCATTTGGGGAGATTGGGGGGATTTGGGGCAGTTTGGGGCGATTTAGGGGAGATTGGGGAATTTGGGGGAGATTGGGGGATTTGGGGCAGTTTGGAGGATTTGGGGAGTTGGGGGGATTTAGGGGGATTTGGGAGTCAGTTCGAGGGGATTTGGGGGCTCAGGGGGCAGTTTAGGGGCATTTGGGGTCATTAAAGGAGGGTTTGGGGTGGTTTGGGAGGTTTGGGGGGTTTGGGGGGATTTGGGGAGTTTGGGGGTATTTGGGGAAATTTTGGGGGTCTCTGGGGGTTTGAGGGGGTGTCTGGGGGTGTTTTTGGGGTCCCTGACCCGGGGGTGTCTCTGGGGGTATTTTGGAGGTGTTTTGGGGGTCTCTGGGGGTGTTTTTGGGGTCGTTTTTGGGGTCCCTGACCCGGGAGGTCTCTCGGGGTGTTTTTGGGGGTGTTTTGGGGGTCGTTTTTGGGGTCCCTGACCCGGGGGGTGTCTCAGGGGGTATTTTGGGGTTTCTGGGGGTATTTTGGGGTCGTTTTTGGGGTCCGTGACCCGGGGGGCGCCCCCCCATTCCCCACAGACAGAACACAAGATGTCCATCGAGGAGGTTTGCAGGAAATACAACACCGACTGCGTCCAGGTACATTTTGGGGGGGGGTCCCGGGGGGGGTTTTGGGGTCTCTCCGGGAGGGTTTTGGGGTCTGCGAGTTTGGGGGTGCCCCCGACCCCCCTTTTTTTTACCATGGAGGGACCCCCAGGGAGCTGTTTAGGGTGTCCCCCCCCCAAAAAAAAAAAACAAACATGTGTTTTGGGGGCATTTTGAGGGATTTTGGGGGCATTTCTGAAGGTTTTTTTTTTGGGG